TGTGTAGAAGCGACAAAGGAAAACAGGAACTACAGGAACTTAAATACAAGGGATAATTACTAAACACAGGTGTCAGGAATCATAATCAAACACAGGAACATCATGACACATAAAAGTCCAGAATCCTGACAACAATATAGCAATTATTGTCTCCCCACAATCCTTTACTATTAGCTTAGTAGATGTTTTGCTCTAATCCTTCAGCTGCCATGACATAAGCTGTGTCCCAAACTGAAGTGCGTGGACTCCGGAGTGTGCATTTGAAGTGCGATTGCGTCACAGCAGCACGACGAAGGCTGTCCCAAACTGAAGTGTGCGGACTCCGAAGTGCACATTTGAAGTGCGATTGCATCACAGTGTCACTACGTAAGCTGTCCCAATTCAGAATGCACCCTCCGAAGACCGAATTCCAAGGCCGATTGCGTCACCGTGGCGCGACGAAGGCCGACGTATTTCGAAAGCGACTTCAAATGCACCCTCCAAATTTGGTTTTTAAAAAGCCTTTTTCAAAAAGCTACAGCTGGAAAAAGGGGGGTCGTCTTATAATCAGGGTCATCTTATATTCGGGCCAATACGGTATTGTGTTTTCATTTACTCAAATACCTAGCGAAAGTGTTAAAAGCCAGGGTTTTTTTTAACATAAAGCCCACAAACAATGACAACCACTATATAAGGCAATAGTCTTTCAATTTGTTGTGTTTTTGTAGTGCTGTCATTCAAGATATGTCTACAAATGTTTTAACCAAACTTTAGCACTTCAGTATTTTTAAACATTCTTCTATATGTTTATTTTTTTGTCCTGTAAATATATATTTTTTTACACATTAAAACAAATTGTTCTATACATTATTGAAAGTACTTTTTTACAACTATTTACAACATAGCTTAGGTTTAACATCAGAAAAACAACATCAGTTTTGATCCCAGCCCTGCCTCCATGTGTTCTGGGGTCTTCAGGAGGTGAATCTCTTGGCGAATGGCCAGCACCTCCTCAGCGACTCGGAGGACAATGCGGTGACAGTGGAATGAGACACGTCAAACACTCTGGAGACCACCCTGTATGATGTACCACTGGCAGACAGAAGAGAAACACCAGGGTCTGGATTGTGGCACCCATCACTGTTGCCGTTCACTTCTAAGAAGATCCAGCAGCACTGTCAGGGCCTCCCCTGCTCAGCCGAAAACCATTAAAAACCTGTCCAGCGCTGCCACTATACTTAACGAATGTACTTCCTTACAGTCCACCTCTGATTATTTTGAAAATAAAAGTATCAACATTTTGTCAGAATATTAACAAATTGTTGCTAACTATATCAAAGGCTGCATCTGAAGGACTCGGAGTGGTCATACGGAGCACTGTTCAGCTGTGACAGCTGCTGCTGAACATTGAGCTGTACAATGCTTTATTTTGTTTTTATTCAGTTTTATTTTTACGCTTAACTGCCTAAAAAATCCGGGTTGCAAACCTGTCTACATATGATCACCATGGTCAAGACAATAAACTATATAAAATCGCACCTTTGTAAGATATCAGTCAGCATTTAAACTGCTATGTGTGTGTGTGTGTATTTTGTAGTTTTTCATATGTATCATTACATTATTCAAGTAAGCTCCAAGCCAATTCCTGCATTTAAAGTTGTAATCCGACAAAGGACGCAGCAAACCAGTGTAACTTACCTGGCCTCGGTCTTGGCTAAGCCTGAGGTACACCACTGTCTCCTCCATTATGACGTAAAACATAAAAACAAAAATGAGCAATTCTGGCTCCACCTATCCTAGCAGGATTGTCCTCTCGTCAGCTCTTCTCGTGCCGTTGCTATGCGACAGAGCGCTAATCGGGAACCTCTGGTGTCGCAATTAGGAAATCCTGCGAAGGCGGAGCGCCCTTCGTGCACTTCGGAGGACTGGCCTTCGAAGTGTGCACACTCAAGTTTGGGACAGCTATAGACTTCTGGAACAGAGCTTTAGACCTCTTTACTTGTGCTGTATATTAATGAAGGCTAATGCGGTTTAAAGTTAAATAGTATTGGTACACTGCCTGCTTTTGTATTTATTGTCAATACAACATTATCTTTTCAAGAAACTCATTTCCCTCTCTATTTAAATGTTTGTATAATAGTCACAGCCTTTCTCAAAGATGGCTTGTGAAGATAAATGGGGCTCTTGATAAAGACAGATACTGCTGCTGGTAAGTTGACTTGAGTTTTCAGGATGCAGAGTTTCTTAAAGAAACCATCAGACCTTAAATGTTTTATAAATTAATTTGTGTTTTTATATTAATCATGTGGTTCTCATGGGAGAATAAAATTGCCGTAAGGGGATTTTCAGAAGAACTACCAGACAATGGAAGCTCTGATAACAGTCTTAACATTTTTCTTTTCCACAAAACATACAACAGTAATTCAAAGTTCACAAAGTCCAGATCTTTTAAAATAAATGTGCCACCGAGCTTTCAACATTCGTCCTTTCAAACAAGGACATACATAAGTGCTCATTTGTGTTTATTTGTCTCCTTATCTTAAGTACAACGTTTTGGTGGCTGCACACTAGAATAATATTTCCTCTTCTCAAGGCTACTGTTGCAATAAAGGGCTAATTGCAACTCAGTAAGGAATAATGATGTTGTCACGGGTATGCTTCACATATGTAAAGCGCATGATGAAGATGATTTCAATCCACAGTCTTTTATAAATCCACAGGAAAATCAACAGAGTAAAACCAAACAGCTACATACAAGTCCACATACACATGATCTAACATAACATTAATAACCAGAAACTCTAAGAACTCAAAAGGGCAGACATACAAAACACAAGAAATAGACTAATGACAATTAACTGAACACTGATTAACTGAATAAGGCAATCAAGGCAAAACTAGGTCAAATTAACTAACTAGGCAGGAGAACAGAAACAGAAGAAAACACAAAAGTACCTATGGTGTGACATATCACCCCCCTCCCGGAAGGCACGACCTCACGCCACTGAAACAAAGGGTGGGACAGAGGGGCCCTAGGAGGAGGACAAAGGAGTGGAAGTGGGATGGTAACGAAGCTGGAGGAGTGGAGTCCCAGGACGGCAGATGGTCAACGACTGACCAAGGCCAGAGGGACGAGGGAGACCGGCGGAGCTGGTGTGCTGCCCATACACACCAAATAGCAACTCCCATCACAGGGAGCACAGCAGATAGGCGAACGACCTCCATGGTCATGACGGGACAGACAGATGATTCTAGACAGGTTAAGAGTTCAGGACAGAGAGGGACTTTCCTCCGTGCCCTCGCGCTCCACTGTCTCATCCACCGTCACGTGCAGTGTAGCCGGCTCACGCACCTGGTCAGATGTTGACTGACTCCATTCAGGCTCTGGCTCCGGGGCGATCCTCAGCTCTGTCGCTCTTTCACGTGATGGCGGTTGCGGTGGGCTCTGGCTGTTGCTCCGTGCAGCGAGGTGGTGTTTGACTGGGCTCTGGGAGTGGGACTGGCGAGCTCATCCTCGAATCCGATGGTGAATGGTGATCCGTTTCTCACCAGTACCCACTCCACAAAGGCGGTGAAACTCTCCCGAAGACCATCTTCGGACGACTGCGCTCTACAAGAGGTGTTGAGTCTCGCGTTGTAGAATGAGCAGAGTGCATCGTCCGGGAGGTTGGTGTGATTAGCCACTTCCAGAAACAGTCTGGTATGGTCCTCGAGAGATCGCTCCCCCTACTCTAGCAGGAGAAGGAAGAACGTTGGGTTGTCCATGAAATAAAAAGAAAAACTTTCAAAAATGAGAAAATAAAACATTTGGACAAACGCCACTTAACTCTTTGTGGCCGGTTATTCTGTCACGGGTATGATTCGCATATACAAAGTGCATGACAAAGAAGAAGATTTCAATCCACAGTCTTTAATAAATCCACAGGAAAATCAACAGAGTAAATCCAAACAGCAAAGCAAGTCCACATACACATGATCTAACATAACATTAATGACCAGCAACTCTGAGAACTCAAAGGGCAGACTTTATACAAAATGCAAGAAAGGGACTAATGACATAATTAACTGAACACAGGTGAATTGAATAAGGCAATCAAGGCAAAACTAGGTCAAATGAGCCAAGGCAGGAGAACAGAAACAGAAGAAAGCACAAAAGTTCCTATAGTGTGACTGTTGTGATGCACTTCAAAAGAACATATAAATATATTGAGAAATGAAGAAAATGAGACATATATTTAAAACTGCACAAACTGAGAACTTCAAAAAGTAGCTCAACAAAAATAGCATCATTATTTACTGTTTCAAATCAGTATGCAGTTTTTTTTCTGTCCTCAAATATATAATCTTTGCAATAGCTATTTCAATATATTGGCAGTTCTTAGTGACTATTACTAGCCTTTCAAGTCCCAAAAAGTATTGAGCAATTTCACAGTCTTGGCCGTGAGATATGGCTGTATAACGGCACGGCTATGATTCGGCCAAATGCAATCACAGCAGGCCAAAATACAGCCATCTCATGGTGACAAGTGTTATATTGTGTTTATACAACAGTTCAATGGCACAAGTGTGTGACATAAGACACAACATATATAAGAAACAATAAGAGATTGTCTTTAAAAACCCTCTTCTGTGCAGAACTACTTCCTTCCACCACGGATTCAAACCTTAGTTTGACAGTTTAACAGCTGAGCCCAAGCCTCTGTTACTAATTCGAAAATGTTACTTTAGAACTAGTAACGAGTAAAAGCTTATTGTATTACTACGCAATGTACACTGATCAAAAAATTAAAGGAACACATTGAAAACACATCAGATCTCAATGGGGAAAATATCATGGAGATCTGGATATCTATACTGATATGGACTGGGTAATGTGTTAAGGAACAAAAGGATGCCACATTGTTTGATGGAAATTAAAATTATCAACCTACAGCGGGCTGAATTCAAAGACACCCGGAATATCAAAGTGAAAAAAATGATGCAGCAGGCTAGTCCATTTTGCTGAAATTTAATTGCAGCAACTCAAAATGGTACTCAGCAGTTTGTATGGCCCCCACATGCTTGTATGCATGCCTGACAACGTCGGGGCATGTTCCTAATGAGACGACGGATGGTGTCCTGGGGTATTTCCTCATATATCTGGACCAGGGCATCACTGAGCTCCTGGACAGTCTGAGGTGCAAACTGACAGCATCGGATGGACCCAAATAAAATGTCCCAGACATTATCTATTGGATTTAGGTCAGGCGAGCGTGGGGGCCATTCAATGGTATCAATTCCTTCATCCTCCAAGAACTGCCTGTATACTCTCACCACATGAGGCCACGCATGGTCATGCACCAGGAGTAACCCAGGACCCACTGCACCAGAGTAGGGTCTGACAATGGGTCCAAGGATTTCATCCCGATACCTAATGGCAGTCAGGGTGCCGTTGTCTAGCCTGTAGAGGTCTGTGCATCCCTCTTTCACAGATATGCCTCCCCAGACCATCACTGTCCCACCACCAAACCGGTCATGTTTAACAATGTTACAGGCAGCATAACATTCTCCACTGCCTCTCCGTGTAGCCCGTGACATCAGAGGCTGGAACCCAGAACTATAAGAACATTTTTATAAATTTTGCAAAATTATACATGCATGCAATGCTATTTTCACATTTATCATATTGTGTCACATCACGGTCACAAGTCTCTCCAAATAAATTAAAGCCTATTATTTCAATATAGGTAATGCTTTTAACAGAGGACTTAAACAATGGTTAAAAACCAAACAACAGTGCTCACATGAATAGTTCTTCATACCAAATTATTATTGCGATATTGTCTGATTATGTTGTCTTTGCTTTATAGCTTATGTATTTTGAATATTTTGAATGTATTGTTCCTTCTTTTTTGTAATTTTATGGTATATTTTTTTCTTTTTCCCTTTTTTTTATTTTTATTAGTATTGTTATTATTACTTTTATTGTTAACATTTTTATTATTAGTTTTATTTTATTAATTTTTTTTTTTTTTTTGCTTTCTGAAAAGCCTCCCGTGGACTGGGGTTGAAAATTAGCATGTGTGCTAAAACACTTAAGCAAGTGCATATGGTTTGTCCAATGTAACTGTGATGTCCATGTTAAATAAAAATTTAATAATAATAATAAGTGGGCACCTGCAGAACATGTCACCAAATTTTGTTGTCTTCAGGAGCCGCCTGTTTGTTCTGAGTGTGTGAAACATTATGCCGGTGAGTCGAGCAGCGCGTTAGGGAATGTGTGCCTCTGTATTTGGAGTCTAACCCTTGAGGGCATATTCTGACTTTTGCGTTTTTGTCTCAGCGAGCATGTGCATTAAGTTCTATGTGCTCATTGTGATGAGTCACAGTGTTAAGGCTCCGCTGGCGCTTGCTCCTATTCCTGAGGGATGCAGGAAAAAGCGCTTGTGCCTTGTGCCGTTGCTGCAGCACGGGATCCGCATACCCTCTATAATTGGGTTGCCTGATGCCATGGATAGTTTGTGTTGCTCGATAGTTGATGTTGCAATGATGATGAAGTGTGAGCACCGAGTTGTTTTTAGCTCCAAGCTTGCGAGATTGCAGGTGGAGCTACAGTATATTTAGCTCGGCTGTGCCTCTCTAATATGCATATTATTTGTGTGTGGAGAGTCTCACTGAGCATGGATATATTAGATGCTCTCTGGAGAGTTACTTGTGAGCGTTCTCTCCCAGGGTGATTTAGTGACCTAGATTGGTTTGGGGGTGTCCCCTGAAACAGCTGTTGTGCCGAGCCTCACTCAGTTTTCTGTTGCCAATGCTTGAGAGCGTTAGTGGCCTTGATGCTCATGATATTGCATCTTTAGGTAGACTGGCCTTCCTGGCTCCTTTGACATATCCGTCAAGGCGGTGGTCTATGAGCTCAGGAAGCTCAGTCAGCGACATTCAGGAGGTTCATTTTTAGCTGGTTTAGGTCATTTTTACCTCTGAGGGGTCTGGTCCATCATAATCGGAGGATCATAGACCGGGCTAGTGAGCCAGTACTCTCCTGCTCCTACCCCCTCCAGGAGTCGAGCACAGAAGATGATACCTTGCTCCCCCTCCAGAGTAGTGTTTTCAAAATTACCGACTGTGATACCAGTCGGTACTGAAATTTTAAAAACATCCATTTCCCGCTAACACTTAAGCACTGTTGAGCGGATTCTTAAACAGTGCTGATTGGCCATTGTGTTCATATGCCCAACAGATATCACTGTGATTGCCACACAGAAGCACACGGGAGTGTTTCAAGGCCGCATCTATCAGCAGATCTGTCTATGTGCAGATATATTAGGGATCTGCTGATAGACACGGCTTTGAAATGCTCCTGTGTGTTTCTGTGTGAGCACTCAGTGAAGAGTGTTAAGTGAAGATCATTGCAGCCAATCACAGTCATATCTGTTGAGCGTGAACACAATGGCCAGTCAGCGCTGTTTAAGAATCCATTCAACAGCACTCAAATGTTAGTGGGAAATGGACATTTTTAAAATTTCAGTACAGACTGGTATCTTGGTCGGTACTTTTGACAACATTACTCAGCCAAAGCTATTTGCTCTGGAACAAATAATAGATTAATGAGACCAAAGACTACCCATTAGATTTACCCAAAACGAATTATATCTCTTGTTTAACCACTAGAGACATCAGAGCCAGGGGCAAATCCTAGAAGATCTCGCGGAGGTGAGGCTGCTCTCGGCAGGTTCATGAGTGCTGAACAGCCGCTGACGCCTTACATTTACATTTAGTCATTTAGCAAACACTTTCATCCAAAAGCGACTTACAAATGAGGACAATAGAATCGAGGTTCACCAGATTAAAAAGAAAACATTTTACTACACATTCATAATACAATACACAAGACAAAAAAAAAACCAATCCCCAAGTATAAAGAAAGTTTGTACCTTCCCCACCAACCAGTATAAACACAAATTCTTACAAAAAAAAGGGAAAGCAACAAGGCTAAAGCTTACCTTAGAGGTGGCAAACTAGCTGAAATAAACAGTGCTCTCAACCAAACATGTGTGCACAGCAAACAATAGGAAGAGGTGCTCAAACCCTGCTGCTCCAAACTCACAACTGTGTGCTTCACCCAGGTGCTGCGGAAGACTGCAAAAACAAAACAATAATCAGAAACACCCCAAACAACATATTGCCAAACAATTATCGCATCATCCATACTCCGATCCGCAGCTACACCAGCATAGGATGTTAGGATGTCTTCATAAATATTGTTTCACTATTTATACACACAAAAACACACAAAACACACAAAAGAAACACTTCAGACTAATAATTCAAAACGAAAATCAACATAACAATACAACAGCCTGCATACCTAAAACTTCCAACGAGCGTTTGACGCAGCTCACCGAGGACTTAACAGGCACGTCTGCAACAACATATTGCCGATATAAAAACAAGAACGAGCATTACTATAATAGACTAAAACACACAATACACGCGTAATCAACCATCACCTACTTCAACTACTGTGACACTGAAGACCGGAAGAGGGGCGGGTACGACAGAGGCTACGTTCTAATGCTTCCTACCCAGACATTTAAATACTCTGACATTAATTATCCTCATTACTCACTCTCATAAAGGGACACCACCCGAAGAAGGGAAGCCCATCCCACACTGCCACAATCTACCCCCCACCTTCTTATCGTCGCCCCGACAGGGCCTAAACAAAACTGAAACTGCTGATACGCAACAGAGTGCCAATGATCTTGAATTTTATGACGGCCTTTTACTCCAAAATTTCGCAGATACACACGCTGGCCTTCATATAACGGACCTTCCTTCACCCTCTGATCGTGATAGTCCTTGCGACGAGAGGCAGCACTACTCAGTCTCTCTCTAGCCCCTTCAAATGCCACCTGAAGTCGGGCCTGGTGCTCTCGAATCCAGTCATGGACAGTGCCAGCCTCAGACTCCTGCACCCTGCCCAACAAAAAGTCTATTGGTAACTGGGGATCTTGGCCGAACATAAGAAAGTGTGGAGACTCGCCAGTTGACTGATGTGGAGTGGTATTATAACAAAAAACTAACTGTGGAAGGCAGGACGCCCAGTCTCTCTTTCTCGAAACAGGTAAGGTACGCAGCAAATTATGCATAGTCCTGTTGAAACGTTCACATTGTCCATTACCAGCTGGATGGTAAGGAGTAGTATGTGTCCGCGTAACTCCGTACAGCTGGCACAATTGCTGGATAAGACTGCTCTCAAAACTGCGACCCTGATCAGAGTGGAGATGACCAGGCACCCCAAATTTGCAAAACTACTCTGACACAAGGACCCGGGCCACGGTAGAGGCCCTCTGATCCCGGGTAGGTATGGCCAATGTAAATTTACTAAAAATGTCAGTCATAACCAGCACATTTTCCAAGCCATGATGGGTAGGTTCCAGAATTGTAAAATCCAGGGCTAGAATCTCGTTGAGTCGTGAGGCTAACAGATGCCCCATAAAACTAGGGACAGCAAAGTTAGTATCCTTAGCCACTTGACACCTCTCACACTCTTGACACCATCGCTTCACCTCAGCAGTCATTCCAGGCCAAAAATAACGCTGGCGGACCAGTTCAGTCGTCTGCTCTACCCCCTGATGTCCATGATCTTGATGTAACTGAGTGAGTACGTCCTGCTTCAAAGAGGCTGGTAGAACTACTTGAAAGACCTCCTCACCACCATTAGGTCGAAGAGTCCGACGATGCAATATGCCATTCCTCTCCACCAGACGATCCCAATGCTGCAACAGAGCCAAAACCGAGGTGGATAACGCTCGACGCGCCGACGAACTAGGGCGCCTCTTCTGCCTCAGAAGGGTTAAAACAGCTCGAATATCAGGATCAGCCCACTGCAGAGAACACATATCAGAAGCAGAATGATAAGGTAAAACAAAAATGGCAGCTTGAGTGATGTGAGGCTGCTGTTGTAAAGCCACAGCCTGCTGCAACGGCTCTGTAACAGGAGAGGTAGTAACAGCTGTTAAATACTGCCGAGACAAAGCATCAGCGTTCTTGTTATTTCGGCCAGATCGATATCGAATTTCATAATCAAAGCATGCAAGCTGGGCCGCCCATCGCTGCTCGGTTGCTCCCAACTTGGCAGAGGCGAGGTGGCTTAAAGGATTGTTATCAGTGTAGATTATACACTTATGCCCCAAGAGGTACTCACGAAATTTTTCGGTAACTGCCCATTTCAGAGCCAAGAACTCTAGCTTCATTGAGCTGTAATTTATCATGTTACGTTCTGGTGGGCGGAGGCCGCGGCTCGCATATGCTATCGGCCGGACCCTACCTTCTTGTTCCTGTGACAGTATTGCCCCCAAGCCACAATGGCTGGCGTCTACCTCTAAAATAAAAGGCAACGCAAAATTGGCATAGGCCAGGACTGGGGTGGAGGTAAGTTTAGCTTTCAGTCTTTCAAAGCTCTGTTCACAGGCTTCTGTCCAGGCCGCCGCAAAGTCCCGTACAGTCCCTTTTCGAGACTTTGTACCAGCTAACTCAGCCACTAGCGTATGTAGGGGTGCTTCCAGTTTAGCAAAACCCTCTACAAAATGATGATAATAGCTGGTAAAACCCAGAAACGATCGCAGCTCGGACACATGGCTTGGACGTTGCCACTTGGTCACCGCCTCGATCTTCTTTGGATCAGTGGAGACACCAGCGCTGGAAATCACGTGTCCCAAATAACCAACCTCCTGCTTAAGGAAGGCACATTTCTCCAACTTGGCTTTAAGTCCTTCCTGCTCCAATCGGCTTAGCACCCCCTCTAATCGCTCGAGATGCTGTGAAATGGTAGAATAAAAAAACACCACATCATCAAGATAGAGCAAGAGAGACTGACAATGCTGTTTCCCAAACAAATGTTGCATAAGATGCTGGAAGGTGCTTGGGGCATTGCAGAGGCCAAATGGTATACGGTTAAACTCAAATAATTCAAAAGGAGTACAAAAAGCGGTCTTGGCTTTATCCTTTTCAGCAACCGGAACTTGATTGTAGCCACTGGCTAAGTCAAGAGTAGAAAACCAGCAGGCCCCAGAGAGTGCATCCAAAGACTCTTCAATACGAGGTAGTGGGAAAGCGTCTTTACGAGTCTTCTGGTTTAACTGGCGGTAGTCCACACAAAGACGAGGACTACCATCCTTTTTTCGCACCAATACAATGGGGGAAGCATAGGGACTGCAGCTCTCCCTAATGACCTGTGCCTCAAGCAACTGATCGATATGGGCCTTAACAACCTCATACTCAGATGGCGGCAGACGCCGGTAATGTTGCCTAACAGGAACTTCGTCTAACATAGGGATTTCATGTGATATAGGACTTGTACAGCCTAAATCACCCTCATGGGCAGAGAACACCGACTGATACTTATGCAACAACATCCTAACCTGTTGGCTATCCTCACTATTAATACTGGATAAGTCAAGAGCATCAATTTGACTCAAAATTGGATTAGGGGAGGTACCAGCAGCTTCAATAGCCCTCAACTCAGCTACACCCTTCGGTAGAGTAACCACATCCACACTACATAGATAACCTAGCTGTGTGCGAGCATAGAGCACAATGTCAATGGTACCAACATTTACTACAGGAATATAAACTGTACCCCGAAACACCCTAACTAAAGCAGGGGAAGCTAACAAACCTCCAGGTAGGCCAGAGTCAAGAGGCTCAAATAAAGCAAAACCACCCGAAAACTGGTCCGAACAAGTTGCAGCAACAAACTTAGTCACACCCCATGGGATACGCTGAACCCTCCCTTGACATAATTTAACACTACTCTTCAAGTCAGGTGGAGGACTACCATCCGCCTGATGATATTGCTGAAGGGCTTGAAACACAGGACCAGGTGCCTGGGACACGGTTGGCAACTCAAATAAAGCAGGCCCATGTTGACAAAACAGAAGCTCATAGCATTTGCTAATGATATTCATCCCAA